GAATCTATATGCGTAACCAGAATGTCGATGCCATGTAAAATAACATCCATAGAACGCCGGAATATCACTGGCGAAGCTGCAATGCCAAAAGGAAGTATTTTATAGCGATAAAGTCCCGGTCAGTGTTGATGGTCACGTATTGTTGACTCTCGTCATCAAGAAGTAGCTACTGGTGCGAATTGTTCATATCCAGTTTAGAAAACGATGGAAAACATCTTCAGGTAGTGGGATTGTGCAGTGTGGAATTTGGAGCTGCGGGTTAACGGTGACGGCATATGATCACTGCATGATCGGGTAGTGTTATCAGCCTTGGGAATGTGAACTATGAGAGTGGCCCACTCACTAAATTCTAACTTCTCTGTAATGCCCTCCCGTTCCAACCGATCATATCCTCATCGACTGCTGACGTTAGGGCATAGGGAACAGGAACAGGGCGGGCCTTACAGAACTAGGGATGAACGAAACCGCTGCATTGGAACCGCTGCTCAGCTCAAAAAGGTTAACATCTCTAGTATTGTCATCGGTCAAGATAATTTTCCAGTAGTATCGTGTGCCAGAAATCTCGGAGTATGGTTTGATAACAACCTTAATATGTCACATCATATAAATAAGACTTGTCAATCCGTAGTATATCATCTTCATAACATTAGACGTATTCGAAAGTTTTTAAGCTATGAAGATAGAAAGTATGTGGTACAAGCACTAATAATGTCAAGGATAGACTACTGTAACAGTCTTCTATTTGGTGTCACAGATGTACATCTGTCTAAACTACAACAGCTACAAAATACAGCAGCACGTCTTATCTGTTCTATCCCTAAACATGATCACATCACTCCGACTCTCATCAAACTACACTGGCTTCCCGTTCGATTAAGGATCAAGTTCAAAATTGCCATGCTTGCTTTTAAATGTATCCATCAGTATGCACCTCTCTATCTTGTCAATCTTTTAAAAGTAAGAAAGACATCGTGCTATAGTCTAAGATCTAAGGAAGGCACATTGCTTGAAGACTACAGTACAAAATCAAAGAAAACACTCGGCGACAGAGCATTTGTAACCTCCGATCCAAAAATCTGGAATGAATTACCTATGTATATTAGAAATCTGCATAACTTTAGTATTTTCAAGAAATTAGTTAAGACTTATTATTTTGAAGAAGCCTTTAATGTAAATACTTCATGTAACATATAATCTATATAATCTTCTTTATATTTTTAGTTAGTAACCATTCAGCATAGAATAATTTTAGTCTAATTATGTTTTGTGATGCGCATTTGATCATATACTATAACATGTTAATTTTGCGCAATATAAATATTAAATATTATTATTATGAACGTCATTCGTGACCTCCAACATCGCATTGATCCTCTTAATTGTCCCCAGACCTGGCCTAAACACCTCATGACTGAATTGAAGCATGTAAGCGGTTTGTTACAGCTGTAGATAACTCTGGAATCGTTGGTGCACTGACATTGAAAATTGTTTTCCAATCCACTTTTATTTTGGCTAACCAATCTCGTCCAAAAAGGGATGGCCCCAACCCATCTACTACGACTAACGGTAGAGTCATACGTTGACTATTATAGTTCACACTTGCATCCAACTGTCCACAAACTTTGATCGGGTCTCCATTGTGTTATGTATGAGTGTACTGCATGCATGGTTTCAGTGACATATCATTGAAGTTATTATCAAATTGGAAATTATAGAAATTGCAGCGACTGTATCAAGTTCCATGAGCATTTGTACATTATTAATTTCAACAGGTATTTCAATGCCATGTTTTTTAGTTCCGCCTGTTTTATACATAGCGGTTGAAAATGGATCGGCCAAATTTTTATTGTCAGATGCACTTTGCACAATATTCAACTGGTCTTTTTGCCTCTGCATGCTTTAGCAATATGTCCAGATTTGCCACACGTATAACACGTAAAATTTCCGTATTTACAATTTGATCTTGCATCCCTTTTCTTACAACAAATAGCACATGATGTTGTCCGTTTTCCAAGCTTCGAAGTTTCTTCTGGCTTCCCTTTTGGATGTCTCAAGTTTCTCGGACGCGAAAGATTCCCACCAACCTTGTTAACAGAGCGTGCTCCGGCTTGCGAAAAATCTGCGATGTCCTTGTTGGCTGCTTCGGCCCCTAATGTTACATTTAAGGCGTTGTTAAATGTGAAGTCATCGGCCACCAGCTTCTTCTTGATGTTCTCACTTCTCAGACCACACACGAACCGATCTCCCAATGCCCGGTTGAGATGTGCTCCGAAATTACACGTACATGCGAGACGCTTCAAATTAGCCACGAACACCGACACGGATTCGCTTTCTTTTTGAACGCAGTTGTGAAAACGATATCGTCCAGCGATTACTAGCTTCTTGGGGGCGTAATGATCTTTTAATGTGGCAGCGAGTTGAGTATAGGGGCGCTTTCCATTAACAGGGCCAGACCGGTCAAATTGTTGAATGGAACACAAACGGTTGGGTTTCGGACCTAACTGACCGGAAAATTTAGATAAAATTAAAATGAGATCCATTTTCGCTAGATGTTTGAGAAACATAAACCAGATCTTTCCATTGATACAGTGACAACAAAATACGTCTGATCGGTCAGGCCATTAAATGGAAAGCGCCCTAGGTCTTCATAGACGGTGAATCCGGCGAACAGAGATTCGATAGAACATCATACGTTCTCGCACCGATAGCAGAGATAGGAATCGCCCTTCGCCTGTTCACTTCTGCAGCATCGGCCGGCACATTACTTGCCTCAAAATACTGTTCAAGACGCTCTAGATAGCGTTGCCAATGTTCGTCGACGTTGGGTTAAATTCTTCAATGTTACCCAAACTAGTCATATTTTTTAGCCTCGTCGCCAATTGTTATGTTTTAAGGCTTTATCAACACATACTAAACTAAAGCTCAACTAACTAACAAAATGGCGGACAGTTCTTTTATAGCAGGCTACTGACCAGCAGTCTTAACTGTGGGCTTATACACAATAGTTCATGTAGTAAAATGTATATAATTAAACGTAATACAATAACAACCTGTTCCAATTTACGGCTAGAATGTTGATATTTAGCCCTTGAAATCCATGTCCACAGGCCGTAAAACATTGCAAGAAAACAATCTTTTAAGAATTGTCCTCCATCGGTTTAATATCAACAAGAAGCTTAGGCACCAGGCTTTCCTTTAATGTGGGTTGCACAGGGATAGCGATGGATCCAGAAAATCTTGAGGTTGTATTACAAAGCGTATCGCTGTATGTCCCATTGCAATGAATTACAAAGGGCGAAAATACAAACTAAAATGAATTACAATCGATAAAAGGCCGACGATACCTAATAGATCTAAATATCCACCGAAGTTCAAAAGATAAAAATAGAAAAATCTTATTTAGTAATACGTTTTCATGCAAAAAAACACGCTGAAATACATTGCGGGCGGATGTCTTGAATTTCTGGCCATAATTTAAATCGATCAAGAATCAGTTAACAAAATTTGTATAGGAAATTTGACAATGGCATGATATACACGTAGTAGTACTACAGGTATACATGCAAGGTTACACAACCGTTCCCCTACAATTTGGTCAAACAAATATACCTGGCCACGGTAAGCACAAAGTACTGTCACGTCATCAGCATCATATTCGTTCTTCATTAAATATTCAGCGACGTTTAAGATCTGGCGAATTTCCTCTTGGTTCCACCAGCTATTTGATCCTTCAATCTGGGTTTCAGGTTCAGTGTGATTCACGAAATATAGGCTGCGGCCAATGCAGGCAGGTGGTTTATTACTCTTCGTTTTCTATTTAGAAGAAATTAAAACTAATTATTATATAGCTTTGCAGAATCCTGGATTCTGATTGGTCGACATGCGGTCCGTAAAATGCGTATCCGGACCGTGGTCCGTATTTCCCCGTATCCGGACCGGTTTCCCGTATGTCAATTTGACAGGCTCGAATTTGAAACGTTTTTACACGTTTATAAGGTCGTTATGTGAAGAAAAAGTATCATTAGATCATTTTTAAGAATAAGAAGTCTTGGAAATATTAATAAGTACTTGTACCATTACAAATTTCATCGAAAAAGCTAAGAAAACAAGCCGTTTGAGCTCATTACTGGCAACCGTAAGTTTTGGCGGGAAAATGTTTTGATTTGTTTACTTGTTTCAAAAGATAAATAAATATGAATTTAACGTCTTTAATACCATATTCTAAACAAGTATAATATAAACTGGATTTGTTTGCATTTTTCTGGGGGTGGGGTTTACCGAAAAAGTAGTTCTAAAGCGATTGTTAAACATGCTTTTCCGTAAACAATATTCGGTGACGAACCAAATCTAAACGAAGAAAACTAGCAAATAAAACATAGCTCAAAAATACCTTTATAGGGCTCAAACAAATATATGAAAATCAGAAAATGTGTTTAAGGAGCCATATAATAAACGGTTTATTAACCTCGTTTAGCTCGGTCTGCACGGAAAAGTATTTGCCTTCGGTTTATCCGCACAGACCTCGCTCCTTCGTCGCTCGGTCTGTACGAAAACCTCAGGCAAATACTTTCCCGTACAGACCTCGCTCTCGGTTAATAACCCTTTAATAGCGCACACTGTATGACTCTAAAAATGCATATAAATGTTTGAATTTGCATAATTCACGCAAGCTTGCAATTACTGTGCTGCACGAATTAAATCAAATATTTTAATAAAACACAAAACAATAGACACTCCAAAAATTGTAAACATTTTAATTCTTAAGAATTCTTAAGAATTAAAATGTTTACAATTTTTGGAGTGTCTATTGTTTTGTGTTTTATTAAAATACTCTATGGCAACCGCAAATTTTAAATCAAATAT